ATAACACAACTGTCCCATGTTAGGGAAGGGTTGAGCGCTTACAAACATGTTTAACCCCGCCACATTCGTTATGTGCCTGTCCCTAGTCGGGAGCCTGTAGTTCAGAAGTTTTCGTTGGTTCGTATCTGTCATATTTGTTTTTCGTAAATTTGTGGGTTTTAAATTAGGCCGTTAGTTTTTCTCAATTCAATTGTTTCGTGTTTTTCATGTCGGGGCCTTTTATATCCGACTAAACGGTATGGGTTTTTCTCATTCTTGAAGGCCATACGGTTGCCTATAATTGCTTACATTCACTTTATTTGAACTTTGGTGGATAGTTGTCTCAGTGGCAATCATACCAAATCTCTAGCTTATTTTTATATAAATAAGTGAACATGGTCAAAATTGCTAGTCGGCTCCTTATCAGTGTTCTTGCTCTTTACTGATGATTTTCACCAATGTTTTGCGTTTTGACTGTGATTTTATAAAAGACAGACACTTTAAATGTCAACAATGATAGCAAGACACAATCAACAAGTACGTCAAATTTAGCAGAAATTGTTTATAAAACAGAAATTAACAACTATAGGTCACCGTACGGCCTTCAACAATGAGTAAAACCCATACCGCATAGTCAGCTATAAAAGGCCCCGAAATGACAAATGTAAAACGTACAATTCAAACGAGAATACTAACGGCCTGATTTATGTACAAAATAATGAACGAAAAACAAATATGATATACCGCAACAAACGACGGCAACCGAATTACAGGCTCCTGACTTAGGACAGGCACATACAGAATGTGGCGGGGTTAAACTAGTTTGAAGGCGCCAACCCTGCCCTAACCTGGGACAGTGGTGTAACAGTACAACATAAGAACAAACTATAATAATCTTCAATTTTGGAGAGTGTCTATTGTTGAAGATGCGTAAAGGAAAAGGTGTGCGCTCTAGTTTGTAAAAAGAGCCTCTTGTTTTATAGCAGGAATCAGCCCCTCAACCACTTCGTACAAAAATATAAGCTTTTGATTTGAGGGTCTTGAAGTTCCAGATTGGCCAGCGTATTAGAGAGATCCATCTTCTCTCGATTTGTAGTCTGTTATGAACCTTGTTGTCTTTCAATGTATCCTTTTAAGCTTGTTGATGATTGTAGTTGTGTAGCCGGGGTCCCTCCTAGCTCTCCATATTCCATTGTAGACCTGTTTGCAGTATCACAAATAACTATCAGGAAGCCTTATATTGAGTTCACCTTTTTAGTTAGGTTGGATATATGTGTGGTCCATTTTTGGTCTTCTGTGAATTGTAAGCTTAAGTATGGGTTTTGTAGAATTTGTCCGTTTAAACTATATAATTTTGACTTTTATTTTTATACTTGAAATGTAGCATTAATATTTCTCTGCATTACACATCTTTTCCCAGTTGTTTGCCAATACTTCTAGGTTCCTAAGGTCGTCCAGGAGAATGCCATGGTCTTTTTGGTGTCTTTAAATTATGGTTCTATAGAGTAGGGTCTTTAAATTATGGTTCTATAGAGTAGGGTCTTTAAATTATGGTTCTATAGAGTAGGCAGTCATCGGCGAATAGTCGTCCTGAAGATTTACGGGATATTTGGGGGTCGTTTATATGATATAAGAAGAGTAACGGTCCAAAAAATGTACCTTGTCACGAATTGGTTAAGCCAGAGTCAACTGTTACTTGTAATTGTATGTAATAATTTAAAGATGACAGAAACGCTAAAATTGACAATGGGTAAAACTTGAAAAAGATAGTTGTAAGCTAAATCAAAATTAAAGAACTGAATAGTGTTACGAACATTCACGCTACGTATATCTTGGACGACCAAAATATTGCTTAGCACTTGTCTACTATCTCTATGGCAATTATCTTGTTGTACCTACAGACAAAGCTCCACACAACATCATTTTTGTTTGTAAATCCGAATTTTATATCAATAAGTGAATAAGATGTTAACAATTTACTTGAAAACCAACTTGACATATACTCTAAAGACACTTAGTAAAGAGGAAATCTGGAAAATATCAGATGATGTCTTATGTTACTTTTGGAATTCCAACCGATGAAGAACTAAATCTTTCTTCAATATCTTGGATAACCGCATCTTCGCTAGCCAAGGGTTATGATCCACTTCCCTTCTCTCCACAGGAGGGAAGTGGATCGTAACCCTTGGCTTGCGAAGATGGCTGCAATGTTGAATTGATGGGTATGCAGAATGCTCCATACAATTGTTTTCCAAAGTATGATACATCTATTTTATCAGTAATCACAACCAGATTGCAATAGCAGTGGCGAAGAGGGCGTTCGCTTCCTCTTTTGATTGGAGAATAAATCATTTTTTAATATAAAATAGTCTCATAAAAAAACACCTTGCTACGCTCGGTGTTATGGAAGTACGTCCCTTTCAAAAATCCTGGATCCGTCCCTGAATAGAGTTATTCTGAAATTACTTATTCTAAGGAAGGTGAAGGTACTAACAAATTCCAAAGATCTGTTAAAGTACCTACGACCCAGAGACAAACAATACCAGATATTGCTCCTTCGTGCAACAGAATTAAAACATTTCACTACCCTTTTTTCAAGTATGTCTCATTCTATTTTTCAAGAAAGTTTGAAAGAATTATATTGCAGACAGCAACCAACAGCAACCATTAAATTACAGGCTCCTGCCTTTGGAGAGGCACATACAGAACTTTGACGGGGTTAAACATGTATGTGGGTCCAAAGCTGGGACAGGGGTAGAACTTCACAATATAAGAAAAAAACGTAAAAACAGATGAAAATAATCTGAATAAAATTCAAATCTATGTTAACTCGCGTGCTCGTATAATTATTATGAGGATAACGAAATCAGAGGTCTATGTTTTAATTAGATTGAGTTGGAAAGGACATAACTCACCAGATCAGGACGAAGCACGAAAAGCTATAGACAAAGTGATTCCACTCTGTGAAGTAACTGTAATATAACAAAGTCAATGTAGAACTTTTTTTGAGATATTATTGCGTCTTGGAGACACAAATGAAGCCCCCGCAGATGCAAAGTATTATCTTAAAATACACAAAGTTGAGCATTGGAGCACATAGGTCTATGGTTCATTGTAGGAGGAGTTATCCAGAAACGCTATGCACCCAGGCTCTTATGCAAGTATATACTCCAAAAATGACAAAGTTCAACTATCTCCCAAAAAAGAAAATATCAATAAAAATCAAAACCATGACCATATGAACACCTGCAATATATGTACAAACAGCTAGCAAAGTGAAAACTCCCTAGCATTCAAACTGTAGGAGGAGTTATCTGGAATAACTATATATATATACCCATAATGGGACGGACGGACGGACGAAAGGACAGACGGACGGACAGACGGACGACAGGGGTAAAACAATATGCCCCCCAACTTCCAATTTCGGGGGCATAAAAATAAACAAAAATTTAGAGCAGAGTATCTTGGCTTGGTTCTAGAAATTGACAATGAGGGTTCATTGAAAAGAAACTTTACGCCAAAGGAAATCCAATGGTGAACTTTCATTTGCTGTGTATCTACATTACAATAGCGCCTGCCTGACATGGGGTATATACATCAAAGTTGATAATAAATTTCCAGGCTTGCGTTTCCTGTGCATGATTTCCTTGATAGAGTGTTTCTGCGTACAAGGAAGCTATTCCGAATGGTAAATTGGAGTCATCCCCTCAGTTCGAAAGTTGTTTTTTTTATCGATCTCCACTTGATATCTCCTCCCTTTTCTTGAGATTTCATTCATAGAAGTAATTTTGTTGATTTTGTATCATGCCGTGTGTCGTCCGTAAACTTTTCACATTTTCAACTTTTGAAACCACATAATTCAATTTTAACTTTTCAGGAATGATAATCCGTATATGAATGGACTTTTAATTTGGTTTCGAACTTTGAAATCATGGCCGTCAGCGTAACATTTTGATTCTGACTGTCCAATTTTAATAAATCTTCTCTTCTCAAAGAAAAGAGCAAATGTTTTGAAATTTAGGGGATTAATAATTGAAATGCACTTTACAAAGGGTCAATTAATAATGATCGATGGGGTGATATGCTTTGTGGCCGGCATATATAGTTGGCACAAAGTTCTCATTTAAACCGTGGCCCCTAAGAAACAACGTTTTTTAATCTTCTTTTCTGAAACAAATTGGTCAATACGTTACAGTCCTATAACATATGACCTAGGGGCCATATTATTTTCTATTTCTGTGTGACGGTATTCATTTTGCTGTTAGTCCTTCAATATTTCAGGGGTTTGGTTAAATTTCTTTCCTTTTATTCTATCTCCGTTTTAATAATATTTCTTGTAGTCTTCTATCCCCGCCGGGCCACTTCTGGTGAAATATCAGCATAAAATAAAGATTGAATAAGAATGTGAAGCCATAATTATGTTAAAACTAGCCCGATGGTTTCCCTTAATCCTGTTTTTTTTGGTAATTTTTCCCACTTCCATCATTTTATCCTTCTTTTTCCCAGATCCAACTTATTTACTCCTATATCCCATATCCTCACTTTTTTACTCCTATATCGCACATCCACAGCTTTTATCCCCTATATCCTACAATGATCCCACAAACTCGTCCCCCCTTTGCATGGGAAATAAGACTAGACCGGGGACAGTTTATATAAACTAAAGTTTTTATGATATGTAATTTCGTAAGGATGAGTTAAAGAACACATTAAATAAGTGAAAAAAAGTTTGAAAAATAGGGACTACTTATTTCAAAATATTAAATACCAAAAAAAGGAAAAACGGGGGATCCATGCCCCTAGCGCTTGTGGTCGTTTTAGAAAAAAATGATGACTGGGGCCTTGTGGTACAGGTATATCAATAAAACTATTGAAACTAAATTAAAAAAAAAACAAAAACACGGATATCGATTTTTATAAGTATCACAGTCACAGTCAACTGTTTCATCAGGACGATATACTAAATATTTGCATTTGGGTCGTACACGGGATTGATCTCCTAAATTTGTCAACTGGATGAAGATAAAAAACTTCCGGTTTTGAAAATGACGGACCTTCCAGGTCTATTGTGCTCCTTTTTCTTTATTTTGGTAAGAAAATTTTGTGTTTCTTTGTCCTTTATTTATTCTAACGATAAAATATGGGACCAATAGATTAGACCCAGACAAAACAAATGTCATACAACTAGATTTATTTAAGGCTGTTATCTAGGCATGTACACAAACCCGGGAGTGATATAAATGAAACGTCAGAATGCCACGTGTTTTAAACTCCTCTTTCATATTGTAACACATGCATACTTTTGCAGTTGTTAATTAAGAACCTTACATATAAGTTGTAGACACTTTTTAAATCGTTTATATAAACAGTATGTTTACCTTTAATTAGGGTCTTTCTCTGATTGATGTTGTTGTGCACTTTATTTCTGGGGGATGGGGCAGGGTATTTGGTGTTTGCCCCATACGTCATTTCTGGAATCATGTCTTTCACCGGTAAAGACCGTCAATTTTGCACCCCTTTATGACGTCATTTACCAGCTAGAATGCACGCCTGTTTGCTTGCTCTATTAAAATTTATTAATTTAAAAGTTTCCAGCACTTTTAGAATCATCATTCTGTAGGGTAGTATAGAAATAATTTATGTTCTGTAAGTACGTAATCTTGATTCCCATACGACTGAGGGAGGGTGACCATCTTATTAGATTTTAGTTTCCCAAATATTTTGAGCAGTATAAAATCAAACTTTTTCACCCGTTTGCTCAACATGTGTTGGAAGTTACGATGCATACATTTTGGTCACGTGGTGATGGAAGTCACATGACAGATTCAACTAAAAACAGTATCCCGGAAACTGACGTATTGACATGTTTGCCATAGGTTCCTTCGCCCTCAGAGTCTGTTAGCACTGGGTCCATTCATCCTATTTAAACCATATATATTAATTTAATAGACGACTTTCGAGTTCATTGCATTTCCGTCAAAAACTTTGGTTTTAGTGAACATCATTCGTGCACTTAGGCATGTTAGGGGATTGGTCACTTCCTTCGCATGTTGAGTGAGCAGTTGGGGGGCTATATTGCACAAATTATTCGGCAAATTAAATTCTTATGATTAATAATCAGCACTGCTATCATTAAGGAATTGTAATTAAGTACCTATGGAAGAATTCATGACAGCTCACCCCACTGCCAAATCGCCCTACTTTTTTCACATACATGTGACAGAGTTGTCACAACTGGAGATTTGAAAATTTTCAGGTGGAGTTTGGCCCTCAAAACTGGAGATTTTTTATTGACATTTTTATCAACTTTTCTCATTGTTTGTGTTAAGGATTGGTAAAGTGTACAAATCCTTGATCAAGTTAATTTGTCATGATAGTTAAACTACACATTCCCCATTTTTGTAAGTTTACAGCATAACCTTTAATGTACTAGTATTCTCTTTATAACAAGATAGAATTTTAATGCAGAACTTTTACATTTGTCGAATTAAAATTAAAATTATTCCATAGCTTTACACCTGATTTGATCCCCATGCATTAATAGTGAATTTATATTTAACTGATTGTACCCCCCAAAATGTAATTAATTTTTTTAGAGTTGAGTAACCAAGACAACTACATTATTGTTGATGGCACTGCTTGATTTTTTTTTTTTATCTTTATTCAATTATTCAACATTTTTTTACAATAGATATATTACATATTACACAAAAATAATCACAAAACAATGGTTAAAAGTATAATGACATATATCATCAACACAATAATCAAAAATTAAATGCAATGACACCTTTAGTCTCTTGCACAAGAATATTATACTTTAAAAAGTGTTTCTCAAAAACATTTCTCATACATCTTACACCATACAAATATTCATACAGGTAAATTTTTCTAATGTTTAGAAGTGTATTTATTAAAGTAGTCTGGTAAGATTATTATTCTATTCAATGATTTAAGTAAGTTATACAATGCAATGGCATTGATGGATTCAAAATTTTAAAAATCTTCAATTAACAACATTTATAAGACTACCTATTTATAATCCTAATGGGTCTGTTATTTTAAAAAAGTATGATTATCAAAAATAATTTGCAATATACTTTTTTTGGGTATGTTCAAAGAAAGTTTTTACCCTTAAGGTAACATTCTTATATAATTTCGTATTCAATTTGTAATTTATTCCTAATTTTATTGATAGATAATATTTTAGGAGCATTTATTTGTAATATTCTAAAACAGGGGAAGTAAATCCAAAATTAATTTCCAACACAAATTATTTATGACCTAAGGCTTGGGTAATAGAAGTTAATTAACGGGTTGTTTGACACCCAAGCTGTCAATTGAAGCCATTGAATATGCTGGTAATAATCACCTTGATTAATGACACAAATCGATATTAATAAGGGTCAACAAGGGAATGAAATCGATTGTATAACAAAAATGGACATTGGAAAAATTTTCGGGATTAAACTTTTTGAAAAAGCGGAAGATTTTAATTCTTAAACAGGAGAGATGAAGAGAGCTTTAAAATCAGGAGATTTTGACTCCCGCCGGAAGAATCACATGTATGTTTTAACCAAGATTCAAGTTTCAAGTTATTATTTTCTCAAAGACCCCAACAGGGGTATGTGAACAATAACACAAATACAATATAAGTATTCATAATATAACAAAATAACAAACTAACAAAGTAATGCAGTGAACATTATAAACATTCATTAACATATATACATGAAAAAGTAATACATTTTAAGGAAGACAATAAATTTCAATAGACATTATTGATGGTTGAAACAATATTAATTTAATGTTAAAACAACAGCTACATGTAGTATAATTTTACAGAATTTTGCAATTTTAAGAACAACATTGTAAGAGTCATAAAATTTGTCAGTATTATTATTGGTAATAAGATAACAAGGTACTGGTAATAATGATTTCCTTTCAACATTGAAAAATGTACAATCAAACAAGTAATGATATTCATCCCCTAGTTGACTTTTATAAGCTCACCTGGCCCAGTGAGCTTTTCTCATCACTTTCCGTCGTCGTCGTCAGCTTTTACAAAAATCTTCTCCTCTGAAACCACTAGGCCAAATTTAATCAAACTTGGCCACAATCATCATTAGGGTATCTAGTTTAAAAAGTGTGTCCGATGACCCCGCCAACCAACCAAGATGGCCACCATGGCTAAAAATAGAACATAGGGGTAAAATGTAGATTTTGGCTTATATCTCTGAAACCAAAGCATTTAGAGTAAATCTGACATAGGATAAAACTGATTATCAGGTCAAGATCTATCTGCCCTGAAATTTTCAGACAAATCTGACAACAAGTTGTTGGGTTGGTGCCCCAGAATTGGTAATTTTAAGGAAATTTTGCAGTTTTTGGTTATCTTGAATATTATTATAGAAAGAGATAAACTGTAAACAGCAATAATGTTCAGCAAAGTAAGATCTAAAAATAAGTCAAAATGACCAAAATTGTCAGTCGACCCCTTTAGGAGTTATTGCCCTTTATAGTCAATTTTTAACAATTTTTTGTAAATTTTTGTAATCTTTTACAAAAATCTTCTTCTCTGAAACTACTGAGACAAATTTAACCATACTTGGCCTTAATCATTATTAGAGTATCTAGTTTAAAAAATTTGTCCGATGACCCCACCTTCCAACCATCATGGCCGACATGGTTAAAAATAGACCATACATGTAGGGGTAAAATGCAGTTTTTGGTTTATATCTCTGAAACTAAAGCATTTAGAGCAAATCTGACAGGTGGCAAAAATGTTCATCAGATTTAGATTTATCTGCCCTGAAATATTCAGACGAATCCGACAACCCGTTGTTGGGTTGCTGCCCGAGTTGGTAATTTTACAGAAATTTTGCAGTTTTTTGTTATTATCTTAGATATCATTATAATATCTAATATCTAATACTATTAACTAATCATTATAATATCTAATATCTAATACTATAACTATAATTTAAACATTAGTTTACATGATTTCCAAAGCATCAGTAAATACAGGTGAGCGACACAGGCTCTTGAGAGCCTCTAGTTACAAATGTCACAAATTCTGTCGTCTATTTCTATACCCCAAAAGCGACCCCTTTCAATAAGGAGTAGATGATTAAGATATCTGAAATTGCATAAGGCTTTCTTCAAATCATCTGGCAAATTAAGTAAATAATATTCTAAACCATGATTACATTTAACATGTTTAAAAATTCTGTGGTTAAGACATTTTGGTGAGTTAAAAATAGTTGTACCCCAATTCTGCTTAAATTGATCACATATATATATATAGTCTCTGTTTTACAAGTTTTGATAAACATATACATTTAGGTACATTTTGTGCAATCCAATATCTTCAGAAAATCCACAATCATTTAAGATATTTTCAATACATGTAACGTTTGTTATCCATTTAGAATGGAAAAAATCTTTCTTATGCATGTTAAATAACAATTTGTACAACATAGCGGATATCTTGTCTTGTTTATTACATATGAGCCTTTTCCACATACCTATCATTCTGCTCTTTATAAATATGTCAGTAGGATATCTACCTAGTTTTCCATATAAAATACAATTAGGAGTAGATTTTTTAACACCCAGTATAATTTTGTTAAATTGTAAAAATAAAGATTCAACAGCATCATTATTCTCATAACTCCACACTTCACAACCATAAAGCAGAATTGGAGAAACCATAGTATCGAACATTTTAAGTTGGATATCAATAGGCAAACCTAAGGATCTACATTTTCTCAACATACTATACATTGCTTTTTTACCCTGATCCAACAATTTAATTCTATTTTTGGAAAAAGATCCATTTGACATAAAAATTATACCTAAATACACAAAGTCATCTACAACATTTAAAATTTCACCATTTAAAGTAAATACAGGTTTTTCAATTTTTTTTACGTTTATTAAATATCACAACTTTTGCCTTTGAAGCATTAATTTCTAAATTCCATGTTTTACAATACAAGTACATTGTGTTAAGAGCAGTTTGTAACTCTACCTTGGAATCAACTAAAATAACTGTGTCATCAGCATATAACAACAAGTATAATCTTAA